CATTCCCATGTATTAATGAGTTGCTACCATTTATAATAAGGCTTAGCAGTACAGATACATGTGGGCTCACTATCAATCAATCAATCAATCAATCAATCAATCAATCAATCAATATTTATTTATATAGCCCAATATCACAAATGTTACATTTGTCTCAGTGGACTTCAAAGTTTGTACAGAATATCAGTATGACAATACGACACCCTCTGTCCTTAGACCCTCACATCGGCAAGCTCACTATTTGGCAAGCAACCGGTCACCGAACATGCAAACATATAAGTTAGAACGAAACAAGGAGGTTGTCAAACAGCCACTGTGATACATTGTTTGTGAAAGCCCTGGGCTCCTTTTTGCAGGTCAATGCTCTTGGTTCTGGATGAGCTGGATCTGTTAAAATCCCTTTCTCCCTGTAACTCTGCTGAATGCTAATAGGTCCAGTGGTCAGTTTTTTTAAGTGCTAGCTCTGGCCCCGGCTTTCTCCCTTTCTCCCTTTCTCATTAGGTTCTTATTTCTAGGTTTTATTATTCATGTATGTATTTACTTTTGCAAACACACTCAAAAACCATATAAACCTATGTTTCTGAGTCAGATTGCATTCATGCATGTGTATTTTTCTAATGAAAAACAGCAGATAAAAGCTGCTCACCAGCATTTATTTTGTTCATTCAAAATCAGGGAAAAAATTCTAATCCAAATTTGAATGTGTGGTACAGTTAAATAATACACTTGATTGTGTCTTTGCAGCGCCCCTGCTGTGATTAACTCGAAGATCCTTACAGTGACAGTACGACCGGAACCACAACCCAGCAAGCCCATGGTGGTGGTGGAGCTATCACCACTTTTCAATGTAAGTTACTTTTTTAAGATTAATGAATGTGTATTTTGTATCTCTCAGTTTACCCTGCAATAAGGTCTTTACTGTTTTATGTGTTTTCATGCGATACAAAGCCCTGTCTGTTCAGCTAGATCATTTCAAAATATCATTATTTGAGAGAAGGGAACATTACTCTTATATTTCCCTCATGTCAACTTTCCAAAACCACCAGAAAACAAGTTATCTTTCCCAGCTTGCATTTTTTGTTAGATACTTGTATATTGAGCAAGAAAAATAGATGTGTTGAAGGCTATAAAGGATTCCTGCTCTCCCAGCTGACCCATGAGTTCAGATGAGAAATAAAGTGCCGCATGCTATAAAGTGCCATAGTGCTTGTTGAATTGCCTGAATAAATGCAGACCTTTTTGACTTCCTTATTTCACAGTGTCTCCCGGTGCATATTCAGTTTATATTACCGCGGGTTATTATAAACGACTCGCGGGGTGTCTTCAGTGGAACGGACTAAGTGCAAGTTTAATTAGAGGCTCTCATTATGACCTCAATAAGATGTTGGTTTCATTAGCAGTTCTTGTGTGCAAAGGTGGGCACAGTTTTGAAAATAATGTTGAATATTTAATAGCTCTCTCCAGACGACACAACACACACATTCATACAGATTTATTTTAAATGTTCAATGAAATCAGTTTTATCCCTATGTTCGCCAGGACCTGAGGGTCAACTTTATTGCAAAGTGTTTCATTTAAATTACTTTGCATTCATTCTCCATCCCCCGCCACTCCATCGCCCTGCTTTAAACCACTAAATCATTATTCAATTATGGCAATTCCCTTTATTTTATCTTCCTATTATTCTGCTTTTTAACACTTTTGGCAAAGAAGAGATACCACGGGTCCCTTCTCTGTTAAGAGGATAATTTCTTGATGCTGCTCTTTTAACCAGAGGCACCCTGTGGACGGACACTTTTCCTACGGGCGGTACAGTGCAGGGCAGGGATGCACATATGCACACTTTCTACAAGTATTAGCAAGATATACCTGTTTGGCTAAATGGCGTACTATTTAGTCATATTTAAATACGTATTGTGATAACTGTTGCAACACAGGCACTTTGTATATGTCAAGCAACATGAATGGTCAATCCAATATCTCCCATTTAACTCCTATGTCTTTTATTAAGGCCTTCCTGCCTGGTAAGTGGAAAGTTCCTATTTTATGATGCAGGATTTAAAAAAAGCTTGTCTAGGGTAACAATAAAATACAGCATAGATCAATAATTGACTAAAGTGATATAAAACATTTATAATTAATGATTCTACTTTAGAAAATGGATATCTCTTCCACAACAAAAACTAAATGACAGTGTAGAGGGATTGAAGTGATTAGCATACTATTAATTTGGTTTAATTTGAAATGCAACCACTCCTCATATCCATAAATGCTACTTCAAATTAATTAGGGTTTTAGCATCTCTTAAAGGCAAAATAAAAGAACAATGGTTTTTTTTATAACCAAAATAGTTTTTTTTTTGTTATTGCACTGAAGGACTAGATTGATTAAAGGAGTTTTGTGACATTTTGGCAAATATGCTAATTATCCTTCTTCCCGAGAGTTAAATGAGGAGATAAATTCCACTCTTATGTTTGTTTGTTGAACCAAGCAGTGTCTGGGATTTAGGAGGATTTATTTGCAGAAATGTGGATCCCATAATACATTGAGTTGCTTGCACCACTATGTTTCAGTGGCCGTATTAATCCTATTCTGATTCCAGGGATGGTCTGCGTTTTTACGTCACCTGAATGCTTCTCTATATTCTCCGACATGCTTGTAAAGAGGAGAGTTAGGCTATTCAGTTGGTTGTAATTTGCAACATCATAGCTAGATGCCACTAAATCCGACACAGTGCTCATTTAAATATAGAGCAAAGCCGGTTAGCCTAGCTAGCTGCTTACTCCAACTGGTCCCCCTTTTTCATGCTAAGCTAAGGTATGCAATTACCAATCTTCTCATTTAGGAGAGAAAGACATTGAGAATAATTGGATGGAGGCAAACTGTACTGAAAACGTTTTTTCACATTCAAGTGTTTTTACTTTAAAGGCAGTGTAACCTATATGTTCAGTGGTGCTCAGCTAAGTCGGAACTTCATTATGCATAACATACTGAACTGCTATTTAAGAACCAGAGAGGGCATGGAATTGAAAGAGAGCAGAGTCTTTTGTCCTGGTCATAAGCTGCAGTTCACTTCGACCTTGGCCAGTGTAGAAACACCCGGCTACTGAAGCTGTGCCGTATAAACCGCTGCCTCAGGCTTCCTTCTCAAAGGGGGGTGTGGGGGTCTCTGTTCACGGTCATGTCTTCACTGACAGGACATCTGCTCCAGACTCCTCACAAATGTCCCTGTTGTTAAAGTGTGTGGGTGTGTGTTTCTTTAATGTCGAGTAAGAAGCAGAAGGCCAGGAATCTCTGTTAGCCCTCAGTAGAGCAGTGGACCCACACCCACAGCAGCTCTGGTTAGCTTTCCAAACATCAGCCTCAAGCCTCTCTGGTCATTTAAGTGTAATCTAGTTTACTTTCATCAGTCAAAAAACATCACGCAGGTTACTCCATTTCATCTCCTGAATCTATAATCTTTGATATTAAGTGGCTTTTAAGACTCCCTGAGCCAGTGAGGTCTTTTACTGTTGCTCCTTTCATCTGATCAGATCAACATATTCCCAGCCAATATGCATTAGGATACCACTTGTAGATGTAAATACCTTGAAGGAAGTAGCTGCTCCTTTTGAGAGTAAAAGGACAGAGCTGTTTATTACTGTGCAGCTGCTGGAGTCAGACACACAGCTCTCCCGTTGAGTGGCATCAGTCGAGCAGACGCTGTCATTATGCAACGTATCGGCACTAAAGAGGAAGCAGACATTATGGCAGTACATGGATGTCACTCCCGCAGCATCGTACAGCTGGGCACGATGCACGCTGATTGATAGTTGTATGCTAACAGAGCCCGCCGCCACGCTAATACACGCCCGGGGACATCTAATGTCGGCGATGGTGGCGGTCTGCGCACGAGGCAGAACAAAGTGCTGTCATCCATCAATCTGTGTCGCCCAGCCTCTGATCCAGTGTATATAAACCTTGTATCATCCCGTCCTCTCAAGTCCAGCCATGCAGAGACCCCCAGGACTCGCTGATTCATGGGGGATCAGTTACGAACTAGTCAGAGAAGGAGGGATGACCTTGCCTTTAGGGGAATAAATCATAGTTTAGACTTGAATGTGCCTTGCTCTCTTCCTCATTTAGACAGTGTTGATATTGAGAAAACCTTCGTTAAGCTCTTTACTCAAATAGAGGTCATTTTCTCAATTTCTTCTCAGACTGTGATGAGTCTTCTCATCCATGTTATGCTGAACAGAACAGTGTGGCTGTGGATTTACTGCTATAATCCCCTTTACCATAAGGGGGAGCTCAAAGGCAAAGGGCTTAAAGCAGGACTCAGTGAGGAGGACCAACAGACTGGGACAGAGAGGGATCCATCAGTGGGAGAACTGCATCTCAGTTTATGAACCCGATGTAGTCACACAAGATAATATTCGTCTATTAGTCCCCGAGGGGAAAATGGGTGGCAGCACATCACAAAGGCATTTAAAAAGATAAGACAATACATCACTGACAACAACATAGACACAGATAAAAATAAACAGACACAAGAAAACCAGATATCGGCAGACGTGACAAGGGGCCTATTGGCCCTCATTTGCGAAATAGGGGGGACAGGCATGAAAAAGGACGTAGAAAACATCAGCTGTTTCTCTTAGACTGTACCAGTATGATACAATTAATGCTTTTGATTCAGGAATCGATGTAAGAACCAGAATCCAGCACCCACAAAGTTCACCTGAAACAAATCACTATCCAATCCTTATACCAAATGAGGCGTGCAGGTTCAAAGGGCACATACGTTTCTTTAAAAAGCAAATCAATGGCGAGATCACCAGTGGAACAAGTTGTGATCAGTCGGTTAAAGACATCGATCCTGTGATTGATTCACTGATTGAGTCTTTGGGAGTCTTCCACCTCAACCACGCGTGACTGAGCTCTGAATTCCAGATGATTCCCCGGACCCTCGACCAAAGCCATTGGCTTTTGGATCCAGTGAGTCGATGGATTAAGAATGCGCTGTGTGACCAATCACCGTCCTTTTTAGACTGAAATCAGAATGTTTTTTTCACATTGAATAAACTTGAAGCTGTTTAGAGATGCCGCATGTATTGCATAAGTACTTTACTTTACTTACCAGTTGGTCTCATAAGTTGTTATGCTTAAGTGCATTTTACGGCTTTATTGTTGTTGATGTTTACTACTTCACGCTGTGGTTGTACTTTGGTAAATAATGTGACTGCCTTTCCACTACTGGATGTTTATGACCCCAACTTGCTGTGTATTATTGTCCATGAAATTACTTTTTGTTTGTCTCTAACTCTTCCCAATTCATTGCTCACACACCTTCTCTCTTTTTGCAGCAGCAGCTATTTGCTGCTCCGTCACATGACAATGATTCTTTCTCCATCCTCCCCTCCCACCGTTTGTCTCAATCCTTCTCTTTCATTGTCTGTTTACCTCTCTCCATCGCCCATGCAGCATCACTCTTTCTCCTCTTGCAAAAAGCCATTCCGTGTTCATGCTGCCTCCCTCTCTCACTCATCCTCTCGACTGGCAATAACCGCTTATCTTCTCTTTTCCCGCCCCCTCCTTTCCCCCCCCCACCCTGTATCTTGCAGGGTACATCAGATCCACAGTGCATTGTCTGGGACTATGGCAACCCGTAAGTTACTCTAAATGATTTTTGATGTGTGCATGTGAGAGAGTACAGTGCAGCAAAGCATGTGTCTGTCAGCGTGTGTGGTGCTGTTTATCTTGTGTGTGTGCTGATGCCCAGTCAGATTAATTTCATTAATTAAGTGAAAACAGTCTAATGAAGTTCCCTGTGTTAGTGTTAATTCAATTAGTCAATGAGAACAAACACCATTCTCTCTGTGTTGATAAGAATTCACAAGTAACATCACTCAGAACGCCTCATTGGAGACGTTTTTACTTTGTTACAAGCTTTCTTTTATGTTTTCCTTAACGCAAAACCATGTTGGAGATTTAATTCGCAATTCCGAACTGTGGAAATTTGGCTTAATTTCAACAGTCTTCTTTTTTTTTACCGCCAGTGACCTGAAGCCTTAATTTGTTGTCCGAATGGGTTTCCTCTCATTTGCCCATGTACGCCACTGACTCCTTGATGTATGTGGATAATCTGGTAAACTACATGATGTTAAGCAGCACTATTGATTTCACTGTTTTAACCATTAACCCACTAAGTAATTACTCTTTCTGTCGATAACAAAGTCAAACTGGTTCAGGACCATTAAGCTAGGGTTTGGTACCATGTCATGGTCTCAATACACTTTGACTTTGATATGTTTATATGGCCCATATCTTCTACCCATGCCAGTAAACGTAAACAGATGCAACCCTTTCTCCTACAAAACACAGTGATATACCTCTCGTTTTAGAGTTAATGGATGAAATTCACTGGCAACGCTACACATGTTGTTACGTTTAGGCCAATAAATCACTTTGATATAATTATAATGACACATCTTGTCACATGCTTTAAGTAAGAATAGATGTTTACAATTATGCCTTAATATAACCAGAAACATATGTACTGGATAGGATATTGTTTGGACAGAAATAGACATTTCCACCTGAGAAGTTCTTTCTCGCTTGTTCTGGAGCTTTGGAGTGTATCACATGTTCCTTATTAGCAGATTAGGTTTGCTGAGTATCCATGGATAGTTCCCCGAAAGAGTTTAAACTCTGTAGAGTTCAATGACAACCGAGCAACCACTATCTGCTGATGAAACAGCAGATTACGTTTAGCAGCTCCTGAACACTTAAGTGGATCTTGAGTGGAGATTGATTTGTCGAGTGTTGGATTTTCAAGTTGATTTAAACATGCCATACAGGTGGCATTACTCTGCCTCCAAATATGATTTGATTTCCAAGAGCTAGATTTGACGGATACAAAAGGAATCTTTCTACAGTGACAACAAGATGGATGACGAAACATTTTGGTCAGCTCAGCTTCCCCATCAGGATCACATTATGCAGTAGGTCTTCTTGCTCTAGAACAGCACTCCCCAGTGACCAAAGCACACAATGGGGCCCAAGGTTCACAGGAGAGTATAAGACATTCTGTAACTTATCAAACTACATCTTCATCGAGGTGGGAGAGGAACAAAGCTCTGCAAAGTCAATTAACTGGCCGGCAGATTACAGCTGCAATCAAATTAAATTTGCAGACGCCACCAGGGCAGAGAGCCAAACAGAATATAAAGTGGCAAGGTGGCAGCGATGTCTATCAACCATTCATACTCAGAGTGGGAAGGAATGTGGAAAACCTCCAAATGTGTTTGCCAGGAATAAAGTAATATGTTTGCATACATAAACGGCAGGGAGTGCACGCAGATGGTTCAAAGCTTTCAAACACAAAGCCTACACACTCACCAGGACCTAGTTAGTTTGACTTACACTGAAATACAAGCGATAAACCAGAATGTTCCAGTTATTATAATTGATTGTGATGATTTTTTAAGTCTATTTTAAGCTCCCATCTTTTCTCATCGCTGCTTAACAGTCATATTGAGGTTGTGTGTTTACATGTTGGGCTAATCCAGAGACTTATTTTGTGTTAACAGTATGAGCTCCTTGGAGCATGATGTTTCTTGAACAGATGTTTTTCAGAGTGTAGGCTGAACAAAAAATAAACTATTCATCGCAAACTACTCTGATTTTGATATTTTTTCCTTGCTACTTAAATCCAAGTATTGGCAGTTTATACAGTATGTACATTATATAAACCAGCAAAAGCAAGGACAGAAAGGCACAGAAATATAGCATGTATACAGTACATACAGTTCTCCATTCGCTTCCTTTTGCTGGGCAGCAGATCTTGACTAAAGCTGGGTGTGCAGTTGATATGGGCAGAGAACATGTTGTACAAAGCAGCGGATTGTTTGCTGTAGGATATCACCTCAACCTGGCTGTATCTCTAACTCAGCCACAGGCTTTGAGGTTCAGCGGGAGGTGGAGAAGAGGTGGAGAATGTATAGATAGCAATGCGGAGGAAGGGCGAACACAGCAGCAGCTGAACCAGACAGCAGGAGAACAGAAGTTCATCTCAGAGACGTAACTTTTAACCTTTCCCCTGTATATGAACGCTTTATTCAGTTCACACAGAAGCACCCACATAAAAAAAAAAGATTGTATCCTGTATCTTTTTCCGTTAATTATTAAAATGTCTGTGTAATGTGTACTTACTTGGAGATCAGAGGCTTACATCTCTAAAGCCTACTGTCATCCCACACAATTATCTGTGTGCACGTTTTTTTTCTTCAAGCATTAATCGTATATTTTGAAATCTGCAAACAATTTCAGTGTCAACTCTCTCCCATTTACGCTCTTTCTGAGCTGGCTAAGTTGGCCAACAGTTTGTGGCACTCACAGTTCATCTCAGTATTTATGTGTGAGTGTTTATTTATTTATTTTGCCCCTAACAGGCCCATATGTCGACACCATCTGCCCATCCAAATTGCTGCGCCCGCCATGCCTCCCTGTCTTCCCCCCTATGTGCCTGACTCCTACTCTCATTCAGTTGCCTTGCCGGCCCGAATACGTACTGATATGTTTAGCTCGCATAAAAGTTTTACAAGTTTTGAAAACAGGAGCTCAGGTTATTGGAAGAAAAGAAGGTTACCCTGAATAAAAGATGTACACGTGTTCTGAGCATGTCTGTAGGAAGACATTTCTACCTTGAATCTTGATTGGGTTATTTCTCCAAAGCGTCTCTCTCTCATGTTTCTGCCATACCTCAATAACTCTCACTCTCCTCCATGGGAAATGATGATGTTCTGCTGCGTGTTTGCTGACCTTGCCTCTGGCATCTCCGCGCTTTGACCCTCACTCCAATTCCGTATGGGATGTCGGGCTGAAGCCCCACTGATATACACCAACTCAATGTACAGTGCGGTACTTATGTTATGTCTTTTGCATTATACATTGTATATATACCATACTCAAATGTGCTACACTGATTATAGCTGCTGCTTTTTGAATCAGGACAAACCGATTAGTGCTGGCATTTATGAAATATACAATGCACTATGCATTATATATTTCATTTCAAATAAGCTTAGAAGCAACACACGGACAAAGCTCAAATGCATTATAGGCAGACGACTGAGCAATCTCCATTGAAAGCATGCTTAATTTAGTGTTTCTTTTATTATCTTTTTAATGACTGTGTTTAAATGCCTTTGTCTGAATGTTTTTCATTTTTGTAAAGCACCTTGAATTGCCTTGTGTTGAAAGGTTCTACATAAATAAACTTGCCTTGCCTTGCCTTAACAATATTCCAGTAGTTAGAGATGAACACACTTTAGATGGATGCATGACGGTAAGCCTTTTAAAGGGTGAGGGTCGCTTAATCCTATCTCTAATCACACTTATTGTAAGTCGCTTTGGATAAAAGCGTCAGCTAAATGCAATGTAATATGATGTAATGTAATCCCCATTGGTCTTCTGCTTGATCGGGGATCAGTGGTTAAAGACCTGGGAACCCCACCCTGCCGTGCCCCACAGCCTGGCGTGCAGCACAAGTACCTTTAGCGTCCCTGCTCCGGGCTCCGACTGATCTGGCACTGCTATTGGCTTTGGCACCGAGAAAGATTTCAACCTTAAATAAAAAGGAATATTTCATCTGTACACTGCCAAGTACTAGCTGGACACAAATCTGGCCAAAATGTAATCACATTCATTTCACAAAAAGGCATAGCGACAAGGTCTGACCTTAGCCAACTGTATGATACTTGTATCATTCTTGTGGCAGCGTAATGGCCATTTATATGCCATTGATTACTCTCCTGTGCAGCAAACAAGCCGATAAATGAATGAAGAGAATACCCTACATAAATTCAGTGTGCGTTTTTCACCCTCTTGAATACTTAACAATCCACTTAGTATGTATGGTAGTAGCGAGAAATGTAGCCTCAAGTCAGTAGCCATGGCATGAGATGAGAAACCTACAGCCTAGCACCTGATGCACTTGACCTGTCAATTTGGTATAGAAAAATGCATGAATGGTATACAGTTTTATCCCTGGGGTTCCAGCATACAGTTCAGCCTTAAAATAGCATATACCCGTACCTATAACAAGTACATTATACAAGACCAACTCAAATGTGCTAAAATATTCAATTTATATGACATGTCTCTATTGTAATGTTATGTTTAAAGTGTTAGTTGGCCTTTGTCTCTCCCTTTCTGAAATAGCTTCAACTTTCTTCTTACTTGTGTATATTTCCTCTGTGTCGTCAAAGAGACACGCTCGGAAACATCCACACACTAACACACTTAACAGCACAGACACCGGAAGAAGGCAGGGAGGGGGGGGGGGACAGAGCTTGCTCCACTTTCCCATCTGACAGAGCAGAGGGGATCAAGACTGTGTCAAACAGCGAGCGAGGGAGTTGGCCAGTAGGGCTTATGAGGGCTCTGCCTCCATTGGGCGTTACAGACGTGGACCGGCTCTCCGCTCATTCCCCTTCACAACAGTCCTTGGAGAGCGCCTTCACGTGGTAGCTTCGATTCTCAGAGCACAATACTCTGGTTCTTGTTAAGGACAGTTAGCTTAAGGGCACTTTGGCTGCTTTAAATAGCTGTTGAGATCAGATCTAAGCAGTGAGATCTGAACTTTAGATATGATTTATTTCTGCT